TTTTTTTTTTTTTTTTTTTAACTCCTCACCGGAGGACATTTTTCCATCTTTTGTACAGATAGAGTGGGAGGGAGAGAGAGGAAGAGAGAGAGAGAGAGAGAAACATCGACGTGAAGGGACACATCGAGTGGCTGCCACCCGCACAACCGACCAGGGCCGGGGACAAACTGCAACCGAAGTACGTGCCCTTAGCGGGAACCGAACCCAGGTCTCTCCGGACCGCAGGCCGACGCTCTAACCGCTGAGCCAAACTGGCCAGGGCTGGGAGTCGGTTTTGCTCCATTTGCTAACAGGTTCTAGCACCTGAAGAGTCTCAGAGCAGAATCTTTTGCTATGTACTTGGGTAGACAGCGGAGGCTCCCAGCTTCTCTGCTATGGTGGATGGTAATCGTGACCTAATAGCAAAAGCCCAGGACCTGAAGTTCTCAGGAAATCTGACTTCCGATTTTGATTCTGCCCCTTACTGACTGTGTGACCTTTAGCAACTCTCTCAACATCTCCGAGCTTGATTTTCCTCGACTATAAGATGGGGTAACACCACCTGCCCCACAGGGATATCCTGAAATGCTTCCAGAGCCGTCTGGAACACAGAGCTACTCGGTGATTCAATTCAACAAAGCACGTGCCACGCTCTGGACCAGGTGCTGGGCACACAAACATAAATATGATACCAGCTGCCTTCAAATCGTTCGGTCTGGAAACGCTGTTAGCAGGCATTCGTTTTCTTCCTTCCCTACATCAGCCTTCTTTTAGGATGGCAACAGACAGTTCAGGATTTGCTAAACTTTCGCCTCTGTGTCCCGAGAGAGATCTCACGAATAGGGGAGGGCTATGTTGACATCCTTCCTTCTTAAACATGGGGATACGGAAAGGTCACTTAAATGTTGTGGGGGAAATATCCCTTCTATGCTTTGAAGTTATTATGAACACTGATCCTTGACTCTTCCAGGCCTTACCTGAAGATGTTCCCAAGGTGACAGTGTACTTCCTCAGCACTTTAAAATGAGCATGGAAAACTCTCCTCCTCTCTTGCTCCCTGTACCCCCAGCATGTCTGGATTTACATTCCAGTTGCAAAGACTGGTCACAAAGGATCAGTTCCCAGTTTAGCTACCTTAGTGACCAATTTCTGGCTTGCCTCCTGATTTGGGGTTCAGGTTCTACTCTATAAATGAAAGGGCTTTCCAAAAAAACAGTAGCTCAGTTTATAAACAAAGGCTAACACGAAGTAACTAGAGGGAAAAATGTAGGAGATCGTTTCTAAATCAAAACGTTTTAACATGAGACCCTTGGTGGGGCAATTCCACGAGTCACAGAAAAAATATTTTTCATTTTGGAATAGATTGGAAAAGAGCCTTTGCCAAGAGCCAGTTGTTTAAATTTTCAATTTGAATTTTAAGCAGGATTATACATGCCCAAAACATCATGCTATTTTTAGCTAATAGGTAGGATTGCTGTGTCCACAGCAGTTTGGAGCAATCAGGAGTGTAAACTATTAAACAGTATCTCTCACTGTGGTACCTTTATCACTTAGTACTTCTACTTCGACTTTAATATTTTCCAAAGCTTCAGCAGAAAAATACTTGTAAAGCACCCATGCTAGGCACAGTACACATTTCAAATAGCCACAGTTCCTATCTTCACAATGGGTTTAACCCACATTAAGCAAACCAGATACATGAAAAAAAATCTCAAGATCAGAGCACCTTCCACCCAGCTGCCATCCAGCCCCTAGGTGCCCAGGGGAGATATACCCATCACCCTTCCAATAATTGCACCCAGTGCAAAGAGAGGGGTAATGAAAATGCTCTCAAATTGACTGTGACCAAGGACGCACAACCCCGTGAATGCACTAAAAGCCATGGAGTCCTATGCCGAAATGGGTGAATTTTATGGTATGTGAATTATATCTCAATTAAGCCACTTAAGAAGGGAGAAGAATTGTTGTTACTCTGTTGTAATTAGTCAAAGCTATTTTTCAAAGCTCTCATGCTAAAGGGGATCTAGCTAAAGGCTGCACTGATTTGGCTGCCTCAGTGGCCACCGTGGAGACCACTCTGGTCTTCCCTTGCACATACATCATTCTTTCCCTCTCTCTCTTTCCCTAGTCTCTCGTTCCCCAGTCCTTTCCAGTTGTGCCTCTGTTCTAACCAGGTCTCAGATCTCTCAGGCATGCCCAAGTGCCACTGGCTGACCTCAGGATTGAACCAACTGCTGACCCTCGGCAACTTTCCCTTCATGACCTTAGGCAAGTCATGTCCTTGTTCTCAGTAGCTGTTTGGGTTTGCACAATGAGGGGTTGGACTACATAATCCTTTCCAGCTTCCACATTCCATGTGAAAAAAAAATGAACACTTACTTGGCCAATAACATGCTGTCTCTGCCATTTTAGCCAACAGACATATATTTGGATTATTCATTTTGTAAATGCCCATGGAGAGCAGTCTTCCAAAGAACAGTATTTGATATACTTATAAAATGATCAACATGGAGTCCATATTTTTAAAAACGATCACTTTATCAAAGAAAATTTGGAGCCCAACACGAAATGCTTAATAGTCCCTCTGGACCTGTCTCCAAGGATCCATTTTCAAATGAGAGGGAAAAAAAAAAAGCTTTTGCACATTGGGACACTGTTGGAATTACCAAACTAAAAGAAGTAAGATCCGGGTGGCAGAGTTTTAACAGCAGTGGTCCAAGTAAATCCTAAGAGTTTCAAGAAAGGCTTTGTGTAGCAAGTGGTAAGACAGCACCTCAATATACATTATACACTCCCAGAAAGTCTCAGAGAGTACCGGCACTGCAGGAATCCTTTTACCCAGGACAACTTGCAGCTTTGTATGGAAACCAGTTACACTCCCCCAAGAGAACTCACAAAAAAATGTAGTCACATCCAACATCCTACCACCAGATAAATTCACAGTATTGTTTCCATGTGCCCAACATCAGAGAGCAAAACCGAAAGAAACACATCAATTTCTCCTACACACACACACACACACACACACACACACACAGACACACAAATATGTGAGAGAAACCATTTTCTTTGCAGAACCTACATTATCAAAGTTGTGGGCATGAACTGGATAAATACCGGTTGCTAATAAAAATCAGATGGTAGCTCTACACTAAGAAGCCAAGAGCAAATGCAGAAATCATGAAAACAATAACCCTAAGGTGTGTTTCTTGTCTTTAGGCTGAACACCAAACATGGAGAGAAATGACTCAGAGTGTCCATCTGCATCTCTTTCCCATTACCTCAGACCAGCCAACTCTCCTTTGGTTACCTCTCTGCACTTCTGTCCAGATCAAAAAGTCTAGCACAGAAGGTGGCAGGCCCCTCTGTTCTTTCCCTTCAGGCTCTTGGCTGGAGGTACTGAACCAGAGTGGGGGTAGGGCAGAAAGGACAAAGGTAGGTGCTTTAGACCCCTTAGGGCTTGGCGACAGGGCTCCCAGCCTCTCCCTCTCCCATCACGGAACCTGCGCACCTGCCCGGGAGAGGTCCCTTCCTCCACATTAGTAACTGGCCCAAGGGGCCCAGGTGTCCTAAGGGCCCGAGCGCTGCAGCCCTAAGGGACAAAGGCCGGGCTAACAAAGAGGAGGGGGAGGCGAAAGAAGTCGGTGCAAACAAAAGCGGGGTGAGGAGCCCCCCGAGAAGGCCAAGCTCATCCGGGGGCTCCCAGAGGTAGCCCGGTTTGGGGGATTCCAGAGTGGGGGGAGGAGCGCTGTAGAAAATTCCTCAGAGGTTAGGGGTTAGGGAGCTGCTAGTGGAGGGCCGAGGCCCGGAGCGCGAAGGGGGCAGAGCCGGTGGGCTGGGAGAGGTGATGGCCAAGAGATGCCGCAGACGAGGCCCAGGAACGGGCGAGGGGGCGCTCCCCGGGCCTGGGAGGGACCCCTAGGAGGCGATGCAAGCTGTGCCCGCAGGGGCTGGGGGAGAGCGCAGAGTGGGGGGCGCAGTGTTGGAAAAGAGAGTCTGAGAACAGAACCGTAGAGAGGTTCGGGCGGGCCGGGAGGAGGCCTGACCCCCGGCCGCCCCACCTCACCTGGCGCGGGTCCGAGTCCAGGTCTAGTGCTGAGAAAGCGCCAGCTCCGGCCGCCCCTCCGTCCCGCGCGGGAGACCACGGACACAAAGCGGGGCGCGCAGGAGGAGGGGAGGAGGGGGGAGGGGGACGGCGGGGAGGAGGAGGAGACGCCTGAGGCGCGCGAGGGGGGGAAGGAGGGGCGCCTGCCTCCTGGGTCAGGGGGCGGGGCGTGCGGCTGGAGGCCGCGCTCGGCCAGCCAATGGCCACCCCGCCGGCCAGCTAGCTGGGGCGCGCCGGCCCGCAGCTCACCTCGGCACCTGGGCCTCCGCCGGCCCCAGCCAATCAAAAGCCTTCATTTGCATAACAGGCCCCGCCCACTCACCCCAGCCAGGGGACTGCTCCCTGAGAACACAAAGAAGGCCCCTTGTAGGGGGAGGGGGTGCACTCCCGATTCCCTACCCTGAGGGCTTGGCATCACCTTTTTGGCGCGTTGATGGGTCTTTCATGGTCACCCTGATATGGAGAGGGAAATGGGGGGCAGTGGCCATAGAGCTTTGGCCCAAGATGTCTTAAGAGGTCGGATCTCTTCTCCCTGAAGTCCTTCTAACCAAGCTACCCTCCTCCTGTTCCAGGGCACATAGTTCCTTGTCTTCGCCTCTAAGCCCACCGCGCCCCATTCCTCCCCCTCCCCTTGTTTCAGCCGCCCCAATCTCAGTGCTTCCCCCCGTAGGCTGCTGCCCTCTACTGGCCTTCTGCTGTACTGCAGCCCTGATCAGCAAGCTCTGAGCACAACCTTGATAGATGCTCCAACCAGCCCAAACCTACCCCTGTCCAGAAGGAAACAGAGAGCAAGGGGTCACTGTACTAGGACAGAAGGGACCTGGTCTAGTGGCTTTGATACCAATATGGCAAAAGGCCGACACTTAGCGTAAGTCTAAACTCCTCAAATGATCTTGCCCGACCTTCCTTCCCCTACCTTCAGGTCTGTACTGGGCCACAATGGTGACTGACTGGCCAGCCCGTTTCAGAGCAGCTGCAGCCTGCTCATGAGTTGCATTCCTCAGGTTCACGCCATTCACCTGTTGAAAGAGAGGAGCTATGAGCCACCCCAAAAGCAAGGAAGGGCATCCTCTGTCTAGCAGTTAGGAAAGGGAGATGGATAGCCCATCGCTAAGCCTACTCAGATGCCTTTCTCAATATCCCATTCTTGCCCCTAAAAGAAGACCTAAAGGATATGGCATCTCTAGTGTAATAATCATCTTTATGGGGTCAAATGCCAACCAGGGTTAAGATTAAAGAGACATTCATTACCTCCTCAAGAATAAGTCTCGTCTTGGTCCCTGTCCCTCCCTAAGGATGTCCATCAAGAAAATATAAGTTTTCTCCAGGTCTTAGCTCTTCCCCCATCTCAAGAAGCATTCCTTGGAGAAAGCAGGGTCTCCTCTCCTCCCTTTTAGGCTGGCACAGCTCCCATCCTCCCACCTCCTCTTTGTCTGCTCACCGATAAGATCCGGTCTCCCCTGCGAAGCTCCCCACTCAGGTCAGCTGGGCCTCCTGCCAGGATGAAGGAGACAAAAATGCCTTCTCCATCCTCTCCTCCCACGATGTTGAACCCCAGGCCTGTGGAGCCCTTGTGCAGGATGATCTTGCGGGGCTCTCTGGTGGGAAAGCAGTGAAAGAGTCAGGACAAGGTAAATATAAACATGTCCCTATGAGGGCCAGCCTGCAACAGTCCATATCCCTGCAGAAGGACTCGGGTCCCTATGGATGATACCCTGTTCCTCCCTTTCTTTCCTGGAACCTGCTTGGCTGCTGTTTTCTGCCGGGTGCCAAGTTTCAGTTCCTCTTCCCTCCCTATTCCTGAGGGCTTGGAGTCAGCTTCCCAGTGCCCTACTCTCTCAGGTCAGCAAAGTCCTAGCCTGGACTCTGGAGACCATAGCTCAGATCCTACTCACTGGTCCTCTGCCTCCCCAGAGTCTCCTATCCAGCCAACTGGTGTGCTGGAGCCGGGCCATAGAAGGGGAGCCAGTTAGGGACAGTGGAATCACCCTGGGGTTGCTTGCACTCTCCACCCACAGAATGCACATAGTTACTTCCCACGTGTTCTCCTGCTGCCTCGAAATTCCACCCCCCACTATGACCCTCCCACCTTCCCCAACAACAAATGTAGTCACCAGCTACTATGCACCCTTGCTTGGTGATGTGGGAGACAGAGATCAAGAACTCCCAGGTCCCCCCAAAGGGGGCATAGGAGCCTAACTGAAGAAAGGAAACAAACACAGGAAAACCTGCAACTAACCATGTTTAAGAAATCCCTCAGTAAATGCTCACAGTGTTATCAGGTGAGGGCAACTGCCACTCGGGGCTATCCGTACCCCGGACTCCCAGCACACTTGCCCGGCCCACCACCTTCACTTTGAGCATCTTTCACCAGAGGAGCCCCAAGTCCAAGACTCCTCCTTTCTTGCTCCGGGTCTGGGCCCGAGGCTTTCTCCCTGAGGCCGGATGCTCTTGCTGGAAGCCCTCCTCTCCTCCTACCTGGCATCCCCTCCAGGTCGTAGGGAGCGGAGCGGCCAGGCCCACCGCTGCGAAGCCCTCCTCCAGGCCGAGGCCGAGGCCGAGCCCAAGCCCTGGGCCAAGCCCGAGCCCGAGAACTTGCGCGCCCTCTCCATGGCTCCTGCGGCTCTCCCCCGTCCGCCTATCCTTCCGGCCCCTCTGCAGCCGGCCCAGCAGCCTAGCAGGCCCCACCCCAAGGCAAACCTGTCCCCGGAACCCCAGCCGGCCCGACCAGTTCCACTGCCAGAGTGGGGCGGGGCGGGTCCCTAGGAAGCCACCCGGCCCGCCAGCCTCCCCGCGTCCCGCCAACCCCACCCGCTGCACGGCTTTCTTGTCTAATTCGGAACGACTGCAGCAGAGGGGGCGACAACTGTCTCGGGGCAGGAACCCCCGCAGCCTCCACCTCCTCAGCCCTCGAAACACTCCACCCCACCCTTTCTCTGCACTTTGGATCGGGGCCGCACGCTTGGCACTCCCCCTGATGGTACAACTTGTCCCTGCAGCCTCTTCTGCCCCTTCTTAGGGCCCCACGGGCTGGGCCTCCGACCCCAGAGATGGGAGCCAGCGATGAGGTACTGGCCCTCTCCTTTGCCATACGACACTAGGCCTGTGGCCAGCCAGAAACTGCTTCCTCTCCTTCCCACCCTCTATAGGGGTGGGGGTCTCACCTGGTGAAGTCATCCTCAGCTAGCATGTGCCTCGGGATAGGAGAGTAGCGGGCGGGGGGAGCCTGGGGAGGAGCAGGGTAGCTGACCTTGCTCTCCACCGCCCCGAGATAACCCAGGCTGGAGTTATGGCTTATGTGGTTGTCAGCCATGGCAGTGAAAGCTGGAATCCAGAAAGGGGGAGAAAATTTTGGAGACCACTCCACGGAGGGACCCTCCTCCCGTCCCCAAGGACCATCCTCGCACCCCACCTCAGAGGCACCTCAGCACCAAGGGGTGCTGATTCCTTGCCTCTGCGCCCCACTCCACCCCCAGGATTCCTCCTCCACAGTCCCTTTTGGAATCCTGGGCTCGCTCCTGTGAGTCTTAGAAAGAGCTGGAGTCTAGGCAGTCTACAAAGAAAGGCATGACTGGAGGTGTAACTAAGAATAATCCCTCACATCTCTATAGCCTAATCCAGTTTTCCGAGGGCTTTCTCGTCCATGATCTCATTTGATCTTTGCAGCAGGCCTATGAGGAAGGCAGCTCCTTTCTGCCAGGCAAAAGGGCACCGGCTCTAAGGGGCCGAGCTGGGGTTTGGACTCGGTTCCTCTGAGCACCCGTCCTTTGCTGTCTCTCTATCTGAACAAGGGGTGTGAACTTCTTCCTCTCCAGGAGCCAGGGGCGGGGGCTTCAGCCCGGGGACAGGGCAGGTGGGTACGTACTGCTGGCGTAGTCAGGGGGTGCGTACATGTCGTTGAGGTGAAGGCTGCCCGGCTTGGCCACCTTCAGATAGACCATATCAGAGGTGTTCTTCAGCGAGGCCACAGCTTCTTCATGCCTCACGTCCTGCAGGTTGGTGTTGTTCACCTAGAAGAGGAGAGGCCTTCGGGCTAGCACTCGGGGAAGGAAGGGCCTCTCCGGGAGCCCTGAGGGGGGTTCGCTCAGTGCTGTCAGAGGCAAGAGCAGTGCTTCGAGGAGCAGAGAGTCTGAGCTCGAGGTAGGGCAGGTGAGGGACTCCCCGCCATGAAAAGGAGTAGCACCTTGGTATCTGATACGCCCAACTCCGAGGATGCTCTTGAAATCCCCCACAATGCCTAGTCCCCGAGTGCGGTTCAGGTGGGGTGAGAGGCTGCTGGAGCTCCACCTTCCCACCCTACCATTTGGGCATCCCCGTGAAGGCTGTCTCACCGCCAGCAGCCGGTCCCCGATCTGTAGGCGGCCATCCTTCTGAGCAGCACCCCCCTCGATTATCTTGGTGATGTAGATGCTGTTGTCTCCCGGGATGTGCTGGTTGCCAATGCCCCCAGCAATGCTGAAACCCAGACCTGGGTGGGAACCAGGCAGCAGGAGAGGACCATGGGAGGAGTTAGAGCACTGGGAGGATCCCAAACCCAACCCCCACCCCCAGCCAACACACTCGTGCAAGGGAGCTCCCCCCAGGGATGCCAAACTACTAGGGTGCCATTCCCAGGTCAGTAAGGTGAGTCATGAGGTCAGGAAAGAAGGCTGTGAGCTGGAATGGGGAGTCAGGCAAGGAGTAAGGCTATTCCCTTCCATTTCCTACAGGGCCAACCGCGGACCTCTGGCCAGAGCCCGGGAACCCAGAGGGCCGCACCTTTGGGCCCTTTGAGCAAGTTGACCTCCATGATGGTCTCGGGTGGGGGCTGCCGCCTCCGCACCACCAACCGCACCACAGGGCCCGCCTCCTTCAGCGCCTCCACAGCTCGGCTGTGCACCACCTCTGACACGTCCACCTCATTCACCCGCAGCACACAGTCATTCACCCTGTGGGGGAAGCCCAAGAGGCATGACACTGCGCCACCGCCCCTCCACCCCCTCTCCCGCCTCCTTCTCTCCCCTCCCCTGCCTTCCGCTCCTCCTCCTTCCTTTCCCCTCCTCCTCTCAGATTGAATGCCAGGGTCAGCCTGCCAGGCGGTCCTCCTCCCCTCCTCTCCATCCTGCCACTGCTGCCCCCCGCCCTGCTCCCAGGCCACCTCACCCCAGCCTCCCATCCATGGCAGCTGCTCCACCAGGAATGATCTTGGTAATGAAGATGCCAGGGTCATCGGGGACATGAGGGTTGTCAATGCCACCTGCGATGCTGAAGCCCAGGCCGGAATTGCCCTGCAGAAAGGGGTGGAAGGGCACCGTCTGCTTACTCAGAGGGCACGAGGGAGGGTCCCTGGCTCCCCCACCTCCCCCTATCCTCCAGAGCAGGTGCTCCAGGCCTCAGAAGGGGCCAGGGCAGACCAGGGTACATTTGTCAGAAACCTGGTGGCTTCCCAGCCTGTGCTGATCCTTTTGGCGTAGAGGCCTCAGCAAAGCCATCCCCTCCCCAATTCCCCAGGCTTCAGCGAGCAAGGCCAATTAATATTGGTTAGTTGGTTGATTGATGGATGCAGTGATGCGGTCTCTGCCTGCCGCTGTTTCCCCATCCTCTCAGTGCAGGTCCCCCTCTGAGTCTTAAGACTGAGGTTCAAGGCCCTTCCCTCTCCTGGCTCAACCCCTCCCGCCCCTTTCATCCCGCCCCACTGGCACACTCACCCGCTCAAGCACTATCTCTTCGTACTTGAACATGCCGTCACTGCCATTCACCTGGGGGGAGACACAGGCGGTTCCCTAAGTGCCTCCTGTAACCGCACCCAGGCCCCCGGTCAACCCGCTCTCCCCACTCCCCACAGCATAGGAGAGCCCAAATGGGCCCCAGACACCTATAGGCCCCAGATGGGGACAGGCTGACCCGGAGGAGTCCGCCCCCCTCCCCTTGCTTCCAGCCCTATCAGGCCAAACCCAGCTGCTCATTTAGCTCAGATCAATGGTCTGGGACCGAACCAGCCAGTGGTGCGCTCAAGGAGAGGCTGGGCTGCAGGGCCTTGTGGCTCACCAGGAGGGGTGCAGGCTGGCCTGAGGGGGCGGCAGAAGTGGAGCGTGGCAGGTAAACCGCGCCAAGCCCAGCACCCATGCGGTACTCAGGACCTGCACAGGGACCTGCTTGCCTTCTGGGCCACAGCTCTCCGTGGGGGGGACCACAGACTCCCACCATGTGAGAGGTAGAAAGACAGCAAGGTACCATCCTGTCCAACCTCCCTCATGTGACAGATGGTGACACTGAGGCCCAGAGAGGACACAGGTTGTGCCTGGCGGTGCACTGGGAGTTAGTGGCAGAGCGAGGGCTCGAACCTGGATTTCCAGGTGCTCTGTGGATTAGAGCGAGCTCAAGGCCACTGGTGTTTTGGCCACTCATCCCCTTCCCCGGCAGAGCTCATCGGAGAAAGTACCTCGTGAACCCTCATTCTACATCTTCTCCCGGGTCTCCAGGAGCCCGATTCCTCATGTGGTTAGAGGAGTTCAAGTCCTACTCCATTCCCTGCCAAGGGCTGTTTAATCTTGAACCCTTTGTGCTTCCCGGCAGAAAGGGCCAGGGGAGGATCAGGCTGGGAGTCCCAGGCAAAGCCAGGGGTGGGCAGGGCAGAATGGACAAGACTCCCCACCAGGGAGAAGCTGATGACCATGGACCGATTGGCAGCTGAGTTCATGGCCTTTTAACACGCAATCGTCATGGGCACAGGGTTGGTCTGACCAGCCCACAGAGGTGACCTCCCAGACAGGTCATACTTGTGGCCTTTGTCAAGTGAAAATGTGATTCTGGACAGACAAGTAGCACCTGTTCTCTGGCTCCCACTCTCATCACCCCCCCCCCAAATGGAGGAGCCCTCTCTCCCCAGGTAAGTGGGCACGTGCTCCCCATTTATCCCTGGCTGTGTTGCCTCTTGCCTTGCCCCTGGTCTCCTCCTCTGAAGAAGGGAACTGGGAACTGGGGGGGGGGGGAGCTCCTCCACATGCCCTGTTCTGCTTCTCCCTCCCACCTTCACCCCACACAGCTTTGGCTTTGAGAAGCAGAGAGGAGGAGATGGGGAGAGGGCTGGCTAGTCATGCCTCCACCTTTTCTAGGCCTGACCCCAAGACTGTACGCCCTGCTTTGGTCCCTGATCCCAGGAGGAGTCCCCAAACCAACACAGCTGCCTGAAGTACCATGCGACAGAAACACAGGGAAAAGGACACCCATGCAGCTCTGGCATGCATCTGGGGTACCATGTGTGCCCACATGTGATAAGCCACGTTTCCAGCCCAGCTCCAGGGAGACCCAGAGGCTCCGGCTCCCATTGGTCCACCCTACCATTGCCCCCCCTCAGGGACTCTGCTCCCAGGGCCAGAAGCCATCCAGGGATCAGCCCTCGCAAAGAAACCTTGGCCAACTGGCCCAGCCTTGGAACTGTCACCCGTCTCCCAGTTGAGCAGGACAAGCATAGGAGAGTGTTTGCAAGGGTAGGGGCCCAGGAGAGAGAGGAAAAGGAGAGAGGTGTCCTCACTGGAGAAGGCAAGGGGCAGGGCAGGGCACAGGAAACAGTGTGGACAGACAGAGGGCCAGGACCAAGGACTGCCCTCCCCAGGAAGTCCCCACCTTTGCTTCTGAGTGAGCACATCCTATCCCCAGAGGAGGACAGAGGCAGCCAGAATGGTCACTAGCTTGGGGCAGTCAGCACCTGCTCTCGACAGCAAAACCTCCTCCTCTCTCCCTACCCTGGGGGCCGCAAAGCCAAATAACCAGACAGGCCCTCCGCCATGCGTTCCGGGGACCTAGCTCTGCCGGCCCAGCCTCCATTTTGCTGCTTCTCCCACAGATGCTCCTTCCATTTTCTAAGCTGGCAGTTTAGTCTGGGAGTGGAAGCCGGAGTTGTGCCTGGCACCCAGGGGTCCCCAAGCTGTGCCAAGTCAGGCCTGGGGGGCCAGGTTCTCCCACATCTGGGGGTTCCCAAGGGGGCATGCCCCACTGGGGCCAGTCCCTGCACCAGGGCAGCTGCCCCTTGCCTGGCTCCAGGCATCATGCCTGTTCTGGAGCGAGGAAGCTGGCTGGCTCCAACCCCCCACCCCCCACCCCCAGCACACACACACTTCAGAGCTGCTTGGACAAAAGAGTCCATCCTTCCTAGCATCCTCTCAGCCTTGCTTGGGACGTGTCTCTCTTCCTCCCCCTCCCCTCCCCTGCCTGTCAAGCGCCTCTCACCAGGGACACCACACACAGACACACACACACACGCACATGTGTGCACACACTTGCAGCCACATGCTCACACACATATACATGTAGCTGCACACACGGGCAAACACAGCCATCCCTGCAGCCTCGTCCACAGAAACACCTCCACGTTCCGAGAGGCGCTCTCACACGTCCATGTGCACATCCACACACAAAGGGACTGGGACGGAGAGGGACTCATGGCCTCGAGGGATGAGGCTCCGCCGGCTGGGCACATGGCTCCACATAGATTCCCAGGCACTCCGCTGCCTTCCTCCACACACCTCAACACACACACACATGTCCCCCTACGCAGAGCACCGTGCCCCCTCCTCCCCTCCCGCGGAGACACACACCACACACAGCCCCCGCAGAACCTCCCGCCCCCTGCCAGACACAGAGACACTGCTGAACCCCCGCACTGAGACAAGCCCAATTCTCCCACCCGGGAAAATGTGCCCCTCCGCCATGCCTCACCCCGACACACAGCTCGTCCGATCCCCTCCAGATGGAGACCCCCAGACAGACACACACAGTGAAGCACACATTTCCCACGCCTCGCGTGGCCCAGCTGCAACGCTAGGGCTTAGGGTCCACTGGCTTGGAGCCCCAGGAGCCCCTGCTGCACCCCAGGCCTCCAGGCCCCCACTGCCCCCACCCCACCGCTCCGTACCTGCTCATACCAGTCCCGGTTGGTACAGGTGCACTCAGGCCACCAGCTGGAGCCGCTGCCGTTGAGTTTGGGGGCGCTCTTGCCCGGGACTGGCTTAGGGGGGACTGGCCCCACATCCCGGCCGGTGGGGATGAGCTTGGCCTTGGTGCGCGGGGTGGGGGTGGCCCCCGCCTGCGAAGGCAGGGTCTGCGAGCTGTAGCCCCCGTATGCCGTGCTGGCTCCGTTTCCCCCACCTGGCCCGTAGGGGTCGGGCACCTGCCAGTCACCGTAGCCGGGAGGCTCGAGGCGCCGCAGGGCGGCCAGACGGGTCACCTCGTAGCACTCGGGGCACTTACAGCAGTGCTGGTGCTTGTGCATGGCACTGCCCCCCGCGGCCCGGACCCCCCAGCCAGCGCCGGTCTCCACGCCGCCGCCTTCCCGGGCACACTCACACTGCTCGGACCAGGAAGGGGGGGGCACCCGTGGGGGCGCCCGGGCGGAGCGGGGCCTGGGGCCGGGCGGGCGTCCCGGGGCCTCTGCCCCTACGCTGCCCCGCGCCCACGGCTCCCCCTCCAGCACTGGCGGCTCCGTGTCGCCCGTCGTGGCTCCTGGGCCTAGGCCCAGCGGTGAAGAAGAAGCGGGAGCCTGGGCAGAGGCTGGGTGCTGCGAGGACCGCTCCTGCACTGGTCCCCAGGATGGATCTGAGTGGAGTCAAGAGCATCTCTCCCTGGCTCCCTTCTCAGTTGATCCCAGCCAATCAGCGTGCAGAGTCGGGCAGCGGCAGCAGCAGCGGCAGGAATGCTAAACAGCGGCTCCTTAAAGGAACAGAGGCAGTGGCGCCCCCAGGCTCAGCCCCAGCTGCCCAGATATCTGGGGTACTGGCAACCCTAGGGCGGGGGCAGAGGATTTGGGCCAAGGGTGAGCTCAGTCCCCAACCTTATGCCCCTAGATCCCCAGTTTCAGCGCATCCTCCGCCCACTCCACCCCACCCCGCTTCCAAGAGGGAGTTGCAGGAAGATGCTCAATGGGTCCCGGGTTTGCTCAGAGCTGGGGCCACCACCGGGAGTAAAGACTTGAGGCAGCAGAAGGACCGAAGGGACGCTGAGGTAGTGCCCTGTCCCAAAAGGGGATCAAGGGAGAGGGCAGCTTAAGAGGCCTGTCGACGCCCCCTCCTCCAGACTATTGTTCTCTCAACCTCTAGGCCCTGAAATGCCAGCAACCTACCACTTGACCTGCTTCCATGACCAGTGAGAGACCGAAGCCTAGAACAGGGGGAAAAGAAAGCTCCAAGTTCTTGTCCCTGCCCCACAGACTCCTCCTGTGTCCCCCACCCAACTTCCGCACGGTTACTGTGGGGGAGAGAGCTTCATGGCACCAAGAGGAACCAGAGTCCAGGGCAGGAGGAAAAGCGACAAGCTATCTGAAGTAAGAGAAACCATCCCAGGAGGTCTGAAGAACTTGGGAATCTCCTTAGCCTCTCCTGGCTCAGCCTGCAGGGGGATGGAACTTGGATGACATGCCCGGAAGACTCCATCTTTTTGCTGTTCTTGTTTTGTAATTAACTACCAATTACTGAGTCTTTATGAAGTCCTAAGTGCTTTACATGCAAACAAAAACGCCACCAAGATACTACTCTTGTTATCTTAATTTCACCAATGAGAAATCGAGGCTCAGAGGTGTTAATGCAGGTAGGGACCACACTTGGAAGTGACAGAATCCAAATCCAAACCCTGGCCCTTTGCCTCCCGAGTCCATGCTCTGAACCACTCTAGTACAACAGGTCTAGTCTAAGTCCTTCTGCAGAACTTCTATCTCAGTTTGATGTTCATTGCACACCAACACTGTGCAAGACACTGACCTAGGTCCTAGGGATACAGAAATGCATTCTTAATTCAGCAAATACTCATTGAGCACCTGCCACGTGCCAGACACTCTTCTGGGACTTGAGGGCACAGCAGAAAATAGAACAAAACACAACACAACAAATTACTGTCCTTGGGGAGCTTACATTCTAGTGAAAGGATACAGACAAAAATGAGCACAATAAATACTTGAATTACATACTTTATATAATGATAAACTCAGTGAAAAAAAGAAAAAGCAGAGAAGGGGAGACCAGATGTGCTAGGACAGGACACCAAGTTGTGATCATTTTCCTTCGAGTTTTTTACCCCCACATTTTAAAAAATTATCTTTATTGTTGAAAAGTACTACAGATGACCCCCTTTCCCCCATTGATCCCCTCCACCCCTCTCCCACCCCCACCCCCCCAGATCTTCACTGCACTATGGTCTGTGTCCATGGGTTATGCATATAAGTTCTTTGGTTAATCTCTTCCCCCAACATTTTTAATATAAAATTTTTTAAACGTACAGAAAAATTGAGAGAATTTTAGAGGAAACAAACACCCAGTTGCTGCCTAGATTCTTATTAACATTTTACTACACTTGCTTTTATCGCTTATCTATCCTCTCCAACTTCTAAAAAAATAAAAATTCACCAACATACAGAAATGTTGAAAAATGAACAGAGAACCCACTGAATGAGAGAACATACTTGCCAACAATACATCTGATAAGGGGTTAATATCCAAAATTTATAGAGAACTACTCAACACCATAAAAACCAAACGATCAAATTTAAAAAATGGGCAAAGGACCTGAATAAACACTTCTCCAAAGAAGAAATACAGATAGCCAATAGATATATGAAAAGATGCTCAATGTCACTAACCATCAGAGAGATGAAAATTAAAACCATAATGAGATATCACTTAATGAGATATCACACCTGTCAGAATGGCTATCATCAATAAATCAACAAACAACAAAGTGTTCACGAGGATGTGAAGAAAAGGGAACCCTCGTGCACTGCTGGTGGGGGTGCAGAATGGTACAGCCACTGTGGAAAGCAGTATGGAGTTTCTTCAAAAAATTAAAAAATAGAATTGCCTTACGACCCAGCGGTTCTTCTTTTAGGAATATATCCGAAGAAACCTGAAACACTAATTTGAAAGAATATATGCACTGCTCTGTTTATAGCAGTGTTATTTACAATGGCCAAGGTCTGGAAACAGCCCAAGTGCCCATCAGTAGATGAGTGGATAAAAAAGCTGTGTGGCTCAGTGGATTGAGCGTCATTCCATGGAGTGAGAGGTCCCAGTTCAATTCCCTGTCAGGGCACATGCCCAGGGTGCGCGCTTAATCCCCAACAGGGGGCACGCAGGAGGCAGCTGATTGGTGTTTCTCTCTCTCTCTCTCCCTTCCTCTCTCTCTAAAAAACCCATAAAAACATATATTTTTAAAAAACCTGTGGTACATTTACACAATGGAATACTACTTGGCCATAAAAAAGAAGAAAATCAACCACTGAGTCGCACAAGCCAGGTTTTTTTAGCCACTTTTATTTATTTATTTATTTATTTATTTAATCCTCACCCGAGGACATTTTTTCCATTTTTGTTCAGGTAGAGTGGGAGGGAGAGAGAGGAACAGAGAGAGAGAGAGAAACATCGATGTGAAAGGAACACATCGAGTGGCTGCCACCCGCACAACCAACCAGGGCCGGGGACAAACTGCAACCGAGGTACATGCCCTTAGCGGGAACCGAACCCGGGTCTCTCAAGACCGCAGGCCGACGCTCTAACCGCTGAGCCAAACCGGCCAGGGCTTTAGCCACTTTTAATCTAGAACAACTTCAATCATTAAAAAAAAACAAAACAAAAAAAAACCCACCTTTTTATTTTGAAATACTTGTAGATTTGCAAGGAAGTTGCAGAGATAGTACAGAAAGGGCCTATGTACCCTTCACCTAGCTTCCTTCAATGATTACATCTTACTAACTTACAGTACAATATCAAAACCAGGAAACACCCTGAGACGACGTGTGTACAGTTCTCTGCCATTTTACCATGTGTGAAGATTCCTGTGACAACCACGGCAATCAAGATACAGAACTATTTTGTCACCATAAAGATCTAGTAGTGTCGCACTGGCTGGTTTTGCTCAGCGGTTAGAGCATCAGCCCGTGGACCAGAGAGACCTGGGTTCGGTTTCCACTAAGGGCATGTGCCTCTGTTGTGGTTCATCCCTGCCCCAGTTGGGGTCCTGTGGGCGGCAGCCACTCGATGTGTCTCTCTCACGTCGATGTTTCTCTCTCTCTCTCTCCCTCCCACTCTACCTGAACAAAAAACGAAAAGGTGTCCTCGGGTGAGGATAAAAGAAAAAAAAAAAAAGAATCACTATCACCTGGCTGGTGTGCTCAGTGGTTGAGGGTCGACCCATGCACCAAGAGGTCGCCGGTACGATTCCCCATCAGGGCACATGCACAAGTTGTGGGCCTGGTCTCCAGGGGGGCATGCAGGAGGCGGCCAATCAATGTTCTCTCTCATCGATGTTTCTATCTCTCCCTTCCTTTCTCTCTCTAGCATCAATAAAGAAAAAATAAAATAAAATAAAAAGAATCACTCTCTAACTAGTGCTCATAGTGATTTCATTCCAATATGGACTTGAGGGAGGCATGGCAAGTCTCAGTTTTCTCACCTGTACAGTGGGAATGAGAATGTTATTTCCTCTACGTATATTGAGCTCCACATCAGATGATGTTACACTTATTGCTTCAACCATCAAACATAGTTAGACAACTCAAGAGGAGAAGGAAAGTCTATGTCTTTATATTTTTACTTATTCTGTTATTTCTTCCTTCTTACTGTTCCTAGATTTCTTCTTTTATCATTTCCCTTTCTGTTTGCAGAACTACCTTTAACCACTTTTTTGGGTGGCTTTGCTGGCGACGTATTCTCTTAGCTTTCTTTTGTCTGAGAGTATCTTGATTTCCATCTCATTTCTGAAGGATATATTCACTAGACTTAGCATTCGCGTTTGGTAGTTCTTTTCTTTCAACACTTGAAATATGTTGTGTGCGACTTCCTGCTGGCCCCCATGGTTTCTGGTGAAAAGTCCACTGACATTTATTTCTCCCCTGTAGGTAACTTGCTGCTTTAAAGATTTGCTCTTTGTCTTGTTTTCAAATGTTCAATTGTAATGTGTCTTGGCATGGATTTCTTTAAGTTTATCCAGTTTGGGATTTGTTCAGCTTCTTAAATCTGTAGGTTTATGTCTTTTGCCAAATTTGGGACATTTTCAGCCAGTATTTCTTGAGAACTTTTTCAGCCCCAGCTGCTTTCTCTTCTCCTGGGACTCCGATGACACAAATGTAGGTCTTTTGTTATGGTCCCACATGTCTCTGAGGCTCTGTTCATTTTTTTTTTTTTAAGTCTATTTTCCTGTAGTTGTTCAGATTTGGTAATTTCTAATGTTCTATTTTCAAGTTCACTGATTCTGTCCTCTTCCATCCTGATGATGAGCCCATAGTTTGGT